CAATATAGTCCCTTGTCAATAGTGAAGGCTGTGTGTTCTTGGTTTGGAGGGTTCATGAAGATTTGGTTGTATCCTGAGTAAGCATCAACGAAGCTCAGAAATTCACACCCTGCCGTAGAGTCTATAAGTCTGTCTATGAGAGGAAGAGGAAAGCTATCATTCGGGCATCCTTTGTTTAGGTCGGTGTAATCGACACACATTCTCCACAAGACCTTTTGGAGCATGAGACTTTCCTTGGTCGGATTCTTCTTAACAAGGACAACATTTGCTACCCACGTTGGATAATTGACTTCACGGACAAAGCCTATGCCTTTGAGTTTTTCAACTTCTGCCTTCATTACCTCGTACCGTTCAGCGTCATAAAATCTTCGCTTCTGTCTCACTGGCTTGGTCTTAGGGTCAATACTTAAGCGATGACAGATGATATCGGGAAAGATGCCTGGCATGTCCTCGTACGACCAGGCGAAGACCTCAATGTTCTCTTGCAAAAAAAAAATCAATGCCAACCGAATGGGTGGTGACAAGATGGTGCCAATCTTCACCATGCGATCTGGATAATCTTTTGAGATAGAAACCTTCTCCAACTCTTCAGCGGGTTGTGCTTGCTGGGTGAAAGAGTCATCTCGAGGATCGTTGGGTTGACTGTTGCCACCGTGAAGATCCAAGTTGGCTTCATCTGGGTTGGTCTTTATGACTTGGTCATGTATAGAAAGGGTTTCCTTGAGCATAGGCAGGTGATGTTGCTTAACCGAAGTGTTGTAACATGATCGTGCACTAAGTTGATGCATGTACGTCCAAATATGACATTGTATGTCGTTGGGCAATCAACCACCAGGAAGTTAGTGGTAATGGTAGCTGTGTAAGGGCCTGTACCAATGGTGAAAGGTAAGTGTATGCTCCCCAAAGGTTGCACAATATCACCGGAGAAGCTTATCAGAGGGGAAATCGAGCGATCGAGCAAGTGTTCAGCTACATTAAGTGCCCTGAAAGCTTCAGCAAACATGATATTGACCGAAGCACCCGTGTCTACCAGGATTTGTCGTACTTCAAAGTTGGCTATGTGAGCTTCCACGATCAGTGGGTCATTGTGAGGGTAAATGATACCTCTTTCTTCCTCAAGGTAGAAACATATTGGATCCCAGTTAGGCTTTTGATACTTACCTCCCTTGATGTCTTCCACGTGAAACACTTGATGGCCAAACCTTAAAGCTTGTTCACTATTTTTCATGGCCCTGTTGGAAGATTTAGATATGGGTGTGCCACCACTTATGGAATATATCACATTCACCTGGCGTTGGTTACGGTTACCCCTTGGAGGGTGAATGAGGAATTGATCAATTTTTCCTTCACGTGCCAAAACTTCAATATGATCACGAATGGTGATATACCTCTCGCCGTCATGGCCGTTATGCTCGTGGTAGCAGCAAAACGTGCCCATGTTCTTCGTGGGCTTGTAATCCGGGTGTCTCGGTTTTGGCTTCGATATCAAGTATGTTATGCTGGGGTAAATGGCCATACATGTGGCGTTCACGGGTTTGTATGCCTCATACCTCGGGGTAGGGGCTGTCCTGACACGTGCTTGACCCACTGTGTTGACTGTCTGGGGTCGGGGATTATCATGGCGATACCCTTGGTTATCGCGGTAATGTCCCTTACTCCTTTTACTAAAATGAGACTGGTGAGGATGGAAATATTTCCTTTTGCCCTGAGATTGATATGTCTGTTGACTTGGCAAAGTATTAAGTAAGGTAGGAGGAGGCACCGCTGCCGTTTGGAAGGTCGAGGTCTTCTCATTTGGTTGGATCTGGCTTCCACTCCCTACTTGCTGATAAAGGGTGGTTGTGGGGGGTTTCTCTTGATATGTCCTTGCCTCAGCGGAGGCATGGTTGTAAGCATGTGCCATCATCTCAGAGTAAGTCTTCCAAGTGTTGGCATTGATCATGTACTTGAAGAAACAGTCACGTAGGCCTGCCATGAAGGCTTTGAGGGTAGTATTGTCGTCTGCATCGGCATAACGGGAATACTCATGGCTGAAACGGCCAGCATACATACGTAATGACTCGTTTGGCTTCTGGCGAATAGTGTACAAGTCATCTGCAGAATGCAAGCGATCGGTCTGGAAGATGTGTTGAAAGACAAACAGTTTCCTCAATTCCTCAAATGAGTCTACTGTCTCAGGTGGAAGACGGCAATACCAGTTTAGAGTTTCGCCAAAGAGCGTGGAGGGGAAGAGAAGACATCGTTCTTCGTCGGTGAGCATCTGATATGCCATGGTGGACTCAAAGAGGTTAAGGTGTTCAATTGGGTCCTCACTTCCAGTATAGAGTTGTAAATCAAGCTTTTATTTTGTCTTCGCTTGAAGGGGGTGTTGATGATCCTCCTTGTGAGAGGGCCAGGCCTGGGTTGGTTCCAGTCAGGTATCTCGGCTTGACGTTCGGCCTTCAACTTGTTTACTTCCTCAATGAGTTGTAGGACAAGGGGGTCCTGGGTGGAGTCATGTACCACTGGGATTTTCTTTCGTAAGTCTTCATCGCCTATTGGAAATAGGAAAGTTTGAGCAAGGGCGTGTGATTTTTCCTTGGAATCGCCGTATTGACTTCTAGGGCGAGTCTGTCGAAATACCTCAGAGTCCTTTGTACCTTCATGTTCCTCTTGGACCTGTCGTTCCTTCCCTAGATTAGCAGCTGGCCTGGGTCGTGGGAGGGGACCGAGTCTTTCAGAAACCCTTGGGTCATTGATCTTCGAGCATATGTGGAGGGGATTCTCTCGACGTTGCTTTATGAAGTCTCGGCAGTCATGATAAACGGCTTTCGATCCTTCCAACCCTTCTGCAATGAGGTGTCTTTCTCCACTTCTCCTGCTTCGGGTCGAAGCAGCTGGGTTGAGAGAAGTCTCATATTGATTAATGTTTTGATGATTAGCTCGCTCCTCATCAGAGATACCCATGTCGAAGGAAGGTGACCCTCCGTGTTGGGAGGCACCCAGGTGATGATTGATGTCCACAGGGGTAACGAGCTCGCATGTTTGAGTACGCCTAGTTTCGTGGAGCGTCTCAAAGAGCTTCTCATACTGCTCCTGGAGGACCTCATTCTTCATTGCTATCTTGTTGTTCTGAGCTTCTAACCCATTGACTTTAGCTTGAAGAGCAACCATTTTTCCTTCCTTCTTTCGTTGCTTCGCACTAGGTGCAAGAGGGGTGTTATTCTGTGTGTTGTGGCTTCTTTCGCTCCCCATGTTGGAAAGGGATGCCTGGTCAAAAGAGAGTGTACAAATGGTGGAAACCAGCTTGACAAGTTGAAGAGAGTGGGAATAAGTGTCGTTCCCACAGACGGCGCCAAATGTTGATGCACAAAATCAATAAGGACTTTGGTACAACAGAAAATGTTAAGTTTATAACCTTCGCTATATTGCTCTGGTCACTAGTGTGAATAAGTATGTAAATGGATAGGGACAGGGAAGCAAACACAAGATGTACATGGTTCACCCAGATTGGCTACGTCCACGGAGTAGAAGAGTTCTCATTAATTGTGAAGGGTTTACACAAGTACATAGTGTCAAGCTCTCCTTTAGTGAGTACAAGTGAATGATTTAGTACAAATGACATTAGGAAATATTGTGAGAGAATGATCTCTATTTATAGAAGAGAGTTTCTAGTTTCATTCTAACATTGACATGTGTCGTGTTGTGATTGGCTTCTGATGTTGACAGGTGTCGCACTATGATTGGCTTCTGATGTCGACACGTGTCGCACTGTGATTGGCCTCCTAGTTAGAGGGAAACTCTTATGGGTCCTTGACAGTATAACGTTGACCGGTACTCAGTAGTTTCTGGATTAGTCAAGTATGGTACAAACATAATTTTTTTACAATGATTTATTTACACTAGAAGATAGAAAATAAATTAGCTGCGAACTTTTGAGATTTTAACCTAAAACTTATTATTTACAAGTGAAGAAAAATATTATTATACCATAATATTGAGTGACATATTTGTAAAGGTGATGCTAAGGAGACTATTTACATAAATCCTATTTTGTAAATCATATAATATGATAACAACTAATAGTTGGATTTCTTCTTTAAATCATTAAAAAAGAATATCAATCATCAACCGGTACATCACGTAATCTACAAAATATAATTAAAAAGATGGTCCGCACATCTCCTTTACTACATTTTGGTTCGTCGAGGACACTAGCTAATTGTGTTGTTCTTAATATAAGAGGTGGATTGTCTGCCCTCCCATTTCCATAATATTTATATCCCCTTCTATTTTGTGTGGTCACGGTAAAGCCATGTCAAAATTTTATATTCTTATTACTTTTTGTTTTATTATTTTTATAAAAAAATCAATATAAAATGTTGATGTGGCTTAACCGTGACCACACAAACATGAGATGATGGGAATAGTATGAAAATGGGAGGGCAGACAATCCACCTCCCTTAATATAATACAAGTGGTACATGCTTGATATTTCATACACCTAGGGTATTATTATTATAAACGACTAAATACGGTTACTGTAACATGTGATGTAAATACGATTATTATTAATGTTTGTGGCTGTATAACAATCACATTAAAATGTAGGTCCAAAAATATTTCAAGGAAAAAATATAACCCCATATGTCTTTTAAAGGAAAAAGAATTAAACATTTTTGCCTTTGTAGATGGCCTCACTGGCTCTATGAAAGCTTTTAATAGATAGAAAAAACTAACGAAAAGTTTAAAAAAAAATTTAATTTTAATAAAAATGACAAATAAATGTGTAGTGAATAGTAATAGGAAAATATAAAAATGTGATTTTTCATTAAAAATGAACAGTACCGAAAGTGTTTCGTTAAAACTTCATTTATATATATATATATATATATATATATATATATATATTCAGAATTCAGATCGATGCAATATCAAATCCTAGACTACAAACGAATACAAACTGCAGAACTTCAAAACTCTAACCCTAGTTTACAAACAACAGTAATAGAGTTTCTTACTTGACGTCTCGATGTCGATCCACTGTTGGTTTCGTATTCTCTTCTCTTGAACTCAAAAAATGGATTTCAGACTCTCAGTAGGGCAAGCACTCTAAAGTGAATTCCATGCACATGTCTGAGAAGAGGGACCAGAACTTGTTGACAGATAGAATTGGGGGAAACCTGATAAACCAATTTAGATGCCAACACATGCGAGAGGTGAAAGTTCTTGTCCTGCAGAAAATTAATAAAATTATTAATAAAGTTCTTGCCCTGCAACAAAAGAAAAATCAGGGTACGTATTAGGTGTTAAATAAAATTATTAAACCTCTAGAAGAGAAAGGAAGATGGAAGCAAGACGAAGAAGAGGGCGAGCGCGTTGACGTAGACAACGAAGACAAAGTCATTCATCCCTTTTTTTCATTGTTGCTTGTTCAACCCAACATCCTAAAACTCCACCATCACTATCATCACTGTTACTGATTCTCCTTAAGAATAGAAATTAATTATAAAAAAATGTAAATTTTTAAGTAGTTCAATAATTGAAGAGCAGGTAACTACAATAAACATATCTTGATATTTGTTGCAGAAATAATCAATCGTCATTATATCATCATTGTATTGTCGTTATATCATCGTTGTTCATGTATATATGATCAATATGTCATTATATGATCAAATATGTCATCGTTACTGAAAAATAATCATTTTTCTGCAAACCAAATATCCAATATTGCAACTAATTTTCCAGAATTCAATCCTATTATTCACCATTTGGGGTCTTTTAATTTAAAACTAGCCCGTTCTACTCAGATTGGCACATGAGTCAAGTCCACGAACTTCTTTTAGCTTCTTATTTCCTAAGCCCATACCTATGCTATTACTGATACTAAGAAAGTCATCCACAGAGTCCAAGGGAATAAATTTTGTAATTCCAAGCCCATAGGCCATAGGTATCAAGCAGCATGCCAGCATATATGTTGCTAAACCAAAACCTATAGGTAGGCATGTGGGTTATCATAGGATAGGATAAATATTGACCAATTTTGGGCATCATTGGACACTTCTACAATTTAGTCCTGGTAATCTCTGAAGTGATCTAATGAAAATTGGCCATGCTCCAAATTGTTAGCACACTAGGACTTATTTGGTACTTAGGGTTTGGATTGGTATTGAAAACTCCCTAATCTCAAGGTATGTTGAGGGGAGAAATAAAAAAATTGACAACAACTGGAGGATAGAAGATGGATTGCCCATAAAGGAAATTTATCCATTTTAATCTTTTCTAGAATGGTAGGATAGAAGGAATATGTTTTATTCATGCATAATCTTCTTCTAATCACCTCTAAATGAAGAATCATTTACTTCTACCTTCAATTTGATTTATCCATTTCAATCCAATCTTGCTTATCAAATGAGGCCTTAATATACTTTATTATACCACGTGAGATAAATCTTGTGGGTTTGCACGGTGTAAATGGCAAGTCGACCATCTATATTGTGCTATTCATATTCTACAATTATAGTGACGGAGGCAACATGAGGTCATTTTTTTGTTACGTTGGAAGTTTGTACCTAACTACTCTTACTCACCCCTCTACCCACCCTCACCACTAGACGAACCCCAATGACGTAAGGTAAAATTAGATCATTAGATGCACATGACCCCAGCAATTCGGCAAGATTGATAGATTATGAATGTAAATTGTGTTCGAGCATTGTACTTGGTTGTATCAAGAAACCACAATTATCGATACTTATCTCATCTTAAGGTGTATTGAGAATTCTAGGGTTCTTTTCTATTGATTGATAGATTACCAGTGTTAATTTTACAAAGCAAATCTTAAAAATTGGGCTTTTGGCTCATATATATTCTCCAAGTGCTTTTGATTTTCTTGAGGGCTATAGCTAGGGTTCTTTTTATCACTCCGTCATTGTAAATTACTGGTTACGACACTAAACTACTCCACACTATGAAAAAAAAAACCCCTTTCTAACTGTTATTCATGTTGCGTATATGCATGTGTGTGTGTATGTGCGTGCATCTCCATATATATTGGATTTCCACTCTTAGGTGGGTGATGTAGCCACAAACTCAACATTTGTAACCATTGTAAAACATGTATCACGTTTCTTTTTCTGTTTCCGTGTACATGTCATGTATGCATGTTTCTTTGTTAGTTTGGTAAATTTATTTGAAAAAATTATGCACATACACATGATTCAAGTAAGAATATGCATGCGGTCCAATATTCTAGTGAATAGGGTGTTGGATTTCCACCAATGCGCTTAAGTTCAAAACTCTATCTTCCGTAAATTATTGTAATAGTTTCGAACCATTCTCTTTAATAATTTTTTTTTTTTAATTGTAAGGATATCATAACTTCACCACTTTCGTTCCATTCAACTCGAAATAGATCAAATTGTAGAAAAAAATTAGATGAACCAAACCAGAAATTCGGTTTGATCCGTCAGTTTGCTTGCCTATGTTACGAGAAAATATTTAAACACGTCTATTTGTTTCAAGGGTCCTAGGTAGGTAACTGCTCAAGACATTATCCTACCACCTTCTGTGGAAATTGTTGATAGTACATAGTATATAGCTAACCTAATAGAACCAATTAATTTGTGTATTGAATTACAAATTGAGAGGAATCGTGGATATCGTATAAAAACGCCAAATAACTTTCATGATGGAAGTTATAGAGATGTTGTATTCATATGTTGTATTCATGCCTGTTCGAAATGCAAATCATAGTATTAATCTGAATATTCTCACAAAGAATGAGATCATGTGTTTTAAACGTTGTACGTATATGAAAATGATCGATGCTCACATATATAATGAAGCCCGTTGCTTGGTGTACATGCATGTAGGAAAATCTAACTGATTAGATTGCACTACCCAAATCTTTGTTCTCTAGAACTGCATAACGCGCACCGGAAACTATATTATTTATGTTTTGCTTTGTGAAAGTAGAGAACAAGGAGCATCTCACTTCGCTTGGCAATGCTATCATGTGTGTCATGCCAGCTGTAAAGAGTCAGAGAGATTCAATAAGTCAATAATAATACTAAGAACATAAATCACGATACCCTAATAGCAGTCTAGAAGATGAAGAAAGAGAGGGAACTAGGGTCCTTGGTGAACTGAATGCGGAGGGGCACTTTCTGTGTGACTTGATCATCGAGTCCCCATCCCCACCTCTCTCTCTCTCTCTCCATGTAACGCCACATATCTCAGTCACGTTGTCCTCAACTGCAGAGATTTAGATGCCCTGGGCTATTCCATCTCTCTATGATTGTTAGTCCCTTTCAGTCTTCTGTTAGCCAAAGAAGCTCACATCATCCTTCAACCCCACTCAATTGAGTGCAATCATGGCCATCCATAACTATCTCACTTAACCTTAATCAAGGATTAGCATAATCTAATTGTCAACCTAATCCAGAACATTCTGCATGCATGTTTCCATCAAGTAAAGCATACTTATATTTATGTAATCTCCAGCTGAAGCTCTACTGGGTAACTCAATTGAGTGCAATCATGTATCTCACTTAACTTTAATCTGTGATTAATTAGCATAATCTTATTGTCAATCTAATTCAAAACATTCTTCATGCATGTTTCCATCAATTAAAGTATATATATTCACGTCATCTCCAACTTAAGCTCTGTTTTGGTTTCCAAACTCAGGTTCATTCCTAGGTTTCAATAATTAGCGCCGATAAATGAAAGATAAAAAATAAAATAATTATCAAACTGCCTCTTAACTATTAAATAATAAAACTAATCAACTAGGCCTTTTAAGATTTCCAGGGAATTTTAACGAAAAGTTTCTGATACTGTTCACTTTAACGAAAAATCACATTTTTACACTAAAAAATCAATCCTGGTACTATTCACTTTACTCTTTATTTTGTCCATATCGTTAAAACTCAAAATTTTCAAGATCTTTTCATTAGTTTTACTCACAAATAATGTCACACATTTAATTACAGATTATAAGTGGACCAATAGAAATATACTAGTTGTGTCTTGGTGGTTGTCCTGAGTCCACTTTATTCATGGTGCCGATGGATGATATGAAGATGATAAATCATTTTCCATTCTTTCAAGTACAAAAGCAAACAATGGGTATCTTTCTCTCACTTTCACAGCACCAACAATGATTATATACAATATATATATGACTTACAGCAACTCCCAGCTGTTCATGTAGTCCAATATTTTATTGGATGAGTTGTGTTATCCAAAGATCTCTTTTTATTTTTAACACACATTTTATTAATTTATGTCATTTGATATTATTCAATCCATCCGTTCCGATAGCTAAGATGTAAGAAGTAAAAAATGATGTATAGATATCACATCCCTTAGTGAATATGGTGTTGGATTTTTATTCATACATTTTGGTTCAAACTCTTCACTCCCTTAAACTATTGTAAATGATACTTTCAAAACCTCCTTCCTCCCCTTAACTATAATAATTTTAAAAAATAAATATGTATATATATGAGTTAGAATTCAGGTACACACGTTTCTACCACACATTTTGTAGTCCCCATTCCGTAACTTTTTTCAAGGATATGAACTCTATATTTCAATTCATCATTCACAGATCATCTATGCAAAAAATTAGACAAAACCAAAATCAATAGGACATTCAATCCATGCAAAAAATTAGACAAATCCAAAATCAATAGGACATTCATTTTTAGTCAAGAAAATAAATGAATATGGTTTTACAAAAGAAACACTAAATTTAATCCAACGGTCACATGTTTTCTAATTTGGAAGTTTTTTGGTAGACATGATCTATGAGGTAAAACATAAAAGATAAACAGTTGGATTGTTGAAATACATTATGAAGTGAGCCTCACAAAAATGTGTGTAATCCTAATCCTATATATACTTCCATGTTTTAATTTTTCGTTTTCTTCCCTTGTATTTTTTTTTTTCCCTTCAGTTTGCAAGACGCAACGAAACATAAAAAGAATGCATGTCTAATTAACAATGGAAAATCAGGAAACTAACCGTTTTACTAACACAGTAAAACCTTAGCCTTCTCAAGGCCGCTCGAGCAATCCCTCTCAACCAAGGGCAGCCTCAGAAATCTTTAGTGAGATGGGCAACCTAATTTTTTTCACTAGGGATTTGGGGTTATTGGACTAATATATGCAAGTTTAGTAGCCTGGTTTTTGGTTTGAGTGGGCGACAAAGTTTAATCTAAGTGACTAAAACTTTATCCATGAGTGCTATCTCAAGGCCGCTCAAGCAATGCTACAACTTCCCTCGAATAGTAGTTTTAAAGTCTAAGGGCTTGTTGGAAGTGTTTTTAAGACGACTGAAAACGTTTTTAGAGAAAATGTATCTAGATTTTAAAAGAACTTAAAGTGCTTCTTGCTGCAGCACCAGCTATATGAGCAC